GGATTTTATTATGTACGATAGTATAAGCAAAAACCTTTTAAAGACAAGGAGATTATACAGAAACCATTGTTCATTTTCTGTTAGTCGATTCTAAATACTCTGTAATGCTGTCATTCTCTTGAATGGTTTTACATTGTTTTGATATACTTAATGCTACAGTATACGAAGTTGTACTCAAGGATTTCAAAGAAAGAAACAATATGGTAACTACTTTTAGGTTAGGATTATCTGGTGGTGAAACACTATTCTGCTTAAATGGTTATGTTTTGATCTGCGCTGTTTCGTTGTTATGCCCTCTTTTATCTCAATCTCCACTCCATTATTTACTTTTTTATCTTTATCCTTTTAATTAAAGGAAAAAAATAGCAGGATATATTATAGTAACCCATTTTGACTTTTCATTACCTTGATTTAAAGCCCTGTATTACTCTCACCATCTGGTTTTTAACTGATGTTCCCCTATTCTGTTTTGCTGGATAGTATCAGGTTCGAAAGTTTAGGCATCAGCTGTGAAGATAATGAGATTCATTATGACGCCCATTCTTTTTGACTTTTAGCTACTTTTGAAGACCTACAATGTCTCCAATGTTTTGGTTTTGTCGGTTTTATTCTTTACTGTTTTGTTCAATTGTATTATAACTAATGATATAGGCAATTCTATTAGAGATAGCGGGAGACATTATGGTAACCATTGTTGATCACCTGTATTATGTTTTTACATTATCTATTATGTCCACCCTTTTGACTTGACCGATTCTGTTCTGTTATGTCACATTTGGTTTTACTCTCTTCCAAAAAAGTAATAAGAACCGTGGGAGCAATGAAACCCAAAATGTGTAATAGTCATGGTACAAAAGAGAGGAAAAGAAAGTACTCTAAACTATATAACTGCATGTATATTTAAGTGTATAAGATAGAAAATGATATCACAGAGTTTTATTGGATCAATGAACAGAACTGTTTGCAGTATCATTGATGGAATGTCCACTTTACAAGCTTTAATTTTGTGACTTGAACAATTATTTCTAAGATGACAATATGTAATCCATTAACTAGTGATTTCCTACTGTTCATTTTTTTTCTGTAAATCTGTATAACTTGTACCCTTTCCCTGCTTTTTTTTTTTCTTTTCTCCTTAAATAAAATTAAAAAAAACAAAACAAAACAAAACAAAACAAAAATAGAATTACTCAGAAACTTTCGTCTTCTGGTCTAACCTGTGAGATAATTTTCAAGAGAATGACATACAATCAACTCATTTGTTGGGGACCACTACTCAGCAGCTCTGAGCAGGATTTAAATTTTACTAATTGGCTTTCTATGCTTATCTGTGGCTCTGTCATAGGCCTCTGCCTCTTGCCTGGCGATGGGAGCTGATTGATAGTAAGTGAACCTCTATGAATCACTGCTCCTGGCTGAGGCCTATAGTGGTCTGTGAGGCCAGAGATACCACAAAGGGCAAGATCACAGCTGAAGACACTTTGGCTCCAACACTAATTAAGTATATAGAGACTGCAGCTGCAGTCATCTCTCTCCTGCAGTCTCAATTCTACCACAAATGTTATCTTGGAGATAAGATGCTAAATTGGCTTAACCTTCTACTTGGGGAAGTCTTTGAAGTGATCCACAAAGTCCTGCTCATTTCCTGAAATTTCCCCACCTTTTGTCTTAATCCTAATAAAAGTGGGCTAATCCAGAGAACCCTTTGTCATAGCCCTCAGAGTCATGAGCTCAACTAAAGGGTTTTGACCCTCCTGGAGCCCTAAAACTCATGTAATTTGTCTTTTTTTATTTAACCTCTGCCATACACTCATTTGGAAGATCAGGGATCGGGGGTCAGCACCCGATACTCATTAATTTATTGTGTTGCTTATTGTTTCTGGTTACCTATCTTTTTTTTTTGCCAATGTCAATATTTTTGAGCTTTCCACTATTCTCATTAATTAAAATCACATAAAATATTGTTTTGACACTTTTCTTTTTTCCAAAGCATGCCTGACACAATGCTGTGTATCTTGGAGCCTATTTGTATTGAGAATTTGGTGCAACAGAAGTTAATAAGCAAATTGTGTAATACAAAAAAACAATGTTAAGGGCCAGGGGTATAGCTTAGTGGCACAGTGCTTGTCTGGTAAATGCAATGTCCTGAGTTTAAATTCTGGCTCCATAATAATAATGTCTTAAAATTGTTTATTAGCAACCATTGTCCTGTATAGTACTAGACTCCCTACCATGAGCAACATCTCATTCAACAGGGCCTACCTTGGACCCAACATTCCATGTTTTATTGGTACTGAATACCTTCCAAAACATATTGTTCATTTTTCATGTAGAACACATTAGCTCTCTGTCATCTACCCCAAATAACGTTCAGGTTCATGTTTCCCTACTCAGAAACTCAGGACTATGTTGCTAAACAAGGATTACCAACCTCTAAGTTCTATCCCTTTAATAACAAAGAACCTGAGGGTTCTTTATAAGTTTCCTTACTCTAAAAAAGATTGAAACCTGCTATCTATAGCAAGACCATAAGAATGAACTAATTTTTATTTTGTTTTCCTCATACATCAATTTTTAATAACTATGCAAACAGGCAAAACACCATGATATCAAGTTATTCCCTAATTATCAAAAATCTGTTTAGTAAAAAATTCTATTAATTGCTCAATTTTAATACCAATCTAATGAGATTGCTCAGAGCACAGATTTAAAATCCAGTATTTCCTCTTCCCTCCCTTTTTTCCCTTCTCAATTGAGCATTTTCTTCCCATTTCCCAAGACTTATTATACATTTTGATCCTTATTTACACTTTCAGTTTCTCACACCAGGGAAACAAAGCTATGTTTGAATGTGTATGTCTAATTTCACTTAAGGATATGGTCTCAGAAGGAGGGAGAGAGGAAAGAAAGGACAAGGAAAAAAAGAATAGAAGGAGAAATGTAAAGAAAGCTTTAGTAAACAAAAGGAGAGGAACAGGGGTTGAACCAGGGAAGGGAAATAGGAAAAAAGAAAAAGAAAGGTATATTATGCACAGGTACAAAATCCCTATGAAGAATGTGATCATTATGTAGATCTCAAATGTACCAATAAGTAAAATGTTTAAAAATTTAGTACTTTGACCACATTATATAAATTGCTTTCAATCACTTTGCTGAAGACAGGGGCTTAAATTATGTAGGATTAGAAAATAAATAAAAGGAAAGTAAAACTCTAGTCAGAGAGAGATACAGAGGCAGAGAGAGAGAGAGATTCTTTCCTCTGTTGGCATTTGGATTATTGTAAACATATTTTCTTGGTCTCTAGAATTATGGCTGAGTCTAAAATTGGAGAAACAACCATTTACATTTCTTTAGAAAGTTTTTTTTTTGTTTGTTTGTTTTTTAAACTCTGGAGCCCCAACAACTGCTTTTGAGCAAAGGAAAATTAGGTAACTTAAAAAATTAAAACCTTGCATTCTATGTTTCTACTATACTGTCATTATAGTAGGTTTTGATAGAACTGTGGAATGGAGGAAGAGGAGGAGGAGGAGGACTGGCGGCGGCTGAAAAGATAAGTATAAAATATAAGTAACCTTTATTTTGGGAATGTGGGGAGAGACACCCCCGACCCCCTGGGGTGTGGCATCTCCACCCCGGGGCCTGCGATCTCTTCGCAGAACACATGGAGTGAGGCACATAAGTAGCCTTGGCCTGGGGTGGAACCTAAGGGGCATTAGGGATGCACAGGTAGCCCATTGGTCTTAGTTTGGCACCAGAGGTAATTTCTAAGGGTGGCGGGAGATAGGAGCTCCTTGGCTTTACCGGCTACAGAATCCGGCCTGGGCCAGCAACCCTTTCAGGTTTATCTGACATATTCTGAAAATACAGCATGGTAATGCACCGGTATTTAAGAGTGAAACACAAGAACAAACTGAGATACTGCCATCACCCACCAATCTGTGTGCAACCACTGGTGTTTCTTCTCCTTTTTTTCAACAGCAAGGAAGTGACATCTGACTACTTGTTTGTAAAATGTAAGCTCATTGCATTAAAATACATTAGCTTGAGAATTAAAGTTGCTTGATAATTAAGCAAAATTATATACAATAAAAAACCCAGAACAAAAAAAAGTGTTTCAAAGCAAAATGCATAAAAGACAATAAACTATTCATTTTCAGATCCACAGAATCAGAATTGTTTTGAAATCATTTTAAAATAATTTTTTGCGAAGATATTTTCAGTATTTTTGCACTGTTTAAATAGTAGTAAGATCTTTTAGGAAACAGGAGTTAAAAACCATACATTTTCTTTCAAATTAATCTGATTTAGGCTCACGTTTCAGAAAACACACTGGTATTTGATCTGCAGATGGGAAGGAGGTTAGAAAAGATTCCCAAGGAGAAAAATTATTCAATTTTCCAAAATGATTTAAAGAAAGTGTTTATTGATGTATCTAGTATACTGAATTTCCTTTAAAAAGTAAAGTTAGAGTTAACTAGTAAGGTCTCCATATCAGGGCACTAGGAAAGCTCTTGGCCTCAATTAGGTGGCCAGATCTGCCTTGACCTAACTGCTCTGTCCCATCTTTCTGATGGAGCAGTGGTTCTCACAGATCGATATCTGGACCCAAGATGACCAGTACTCTCTCTCACCAGCCACTTCCTTAGATCAAAGGAAGTTTGCAAATTTCTCATTTATGTCAGTCCAATTGATGAGACCCAACAGGAGGGAGACTGGAAGCCAATCCAATGATACACATGATCTTATGGCCTTTATCTTACTGAATACTCATATATATATATATATATATATATATATATATATATATATATAATTATTAAGAGTTTCCGATACCAAAGAATTTAAAATGTGAATCCGACAAATTAGGATGTTGCTTGAGTTTTTATTTTTAAATGTAAATTCTAATGGAGAAGTGACTGTTAATATTCTTCATACAAATAAATATTTTCTATTCAAACATGTATAGACATTTGTTTGAAAAACTAAAAAGAGGTACTTACAGAGTGGCAGTAAAATGGAAGAATTAAAAGGAGCAGAATTTCAAGAATTTGGCTGTGATTGTCCCAGGACTGCGTGGCTGGAGAGAGAAATCTGAAATCGTCCCTCCTTTTCTCCCCTGGCAAAACTAGACCTGCTGGAATGCCTGTGACACAGTAGGATGCTGGCTAAGGCACGCATGACAAACAGGCAGAACTAGAGGTGTGGAAATGTCTCAAGCAACAGTAACAAATAAAGCCAACAGGTGTTAAACCAAATAAGCCCTAACACAATTGTAGTGAGGAACCTAAATATCCAACTGCAAAAAATAGGCAGATAAACTAGACCACCACCACCACCACCACCAACAACAACAACAACAACAAATCAACAAAGAAATCTTAGATTAAAATAAGCTTGAGAATAAGTGGATGTGGAGATGTCTTACAGGGTGTTCCTGTCCAAAACATCAGAGTACATCTTCTTCTCAGCTGCACAGGAGACATTCTCCAAAACAGACCATATATTAGCTGACAACACATGCTTAATTAATTGTAGAGGAACTGAAATCAGCCCATGCACACTATTTGACTATAGCAGTGACACTGGAAATGAACAGCAAAGGAAATCACAAAAACTACATTAACATATATAAATCAAACAACACCCTTCTGAACCACCAATGGATTACAGAGGAAATTAAAGAGTAAATTAAACAGTATATACCATTAAACAATAATACTACCTACATACCAAAACATAAGGGATGCAAGAAAAGTGATGAACTCGCACATCAGGAAAACAGAATGAGCTCACATAATCTAATGTTGAATCTCAAACTTCTAGAGGAAGAAGAACAAATCAACCCTAAAACTATTATGAGGGAGGAAATTACAAAGATAAGAGCAGAACTTAATGCAATAGATACTAAGAAAGTAATACAAAGAATCAGTGAATCAAAAGTTGGTTTTTTGAAAGAATAAATAAAACTGGTAAACCATTAGCCAACCTCGTCAAAAAGAGAAAAACAAAAGCACAGATACAAAGAAATTAGGAATGAAGAGAAGAAATCACAGCAAATCCCAAAGAAATCCAGAAGACCATCAGTACCTATAATGAGAGCCTATATTCTAATAAAACAGAAAACAGAGAAGAAATGTACAGATTTCTAGAACCAATCAAATTGTCAAAACTAAATTAAGAAGACAGAAAAATTCTACAATGAAATTCTTCAGTTAGTGAAATTGAAAATATAAATTAAAATTTACCAACAAAGAAAAACTCAGGTCCTGACAGACACACAGTTGAATTCTACAATAAATTTATAGGAGAACTAATGCCACTAATGCTGAAACTCTTCGAAGAAATTGAAAGGGACACAGCACATGCAAAATCATTGCTGGAAGCAAGTATTACCCTGCTTCCAACACAGAGAAGAATGCATCCAAAAAAGGAAACTAGGTGCCAATTTCCCTAATGAACGTAGGTCAGAAAATTCTTAATAAGATGTTGGCAAACAGAAAGCAGCAAACCATCAAGAAGATTATACATCGTCACCAAGTAGAATTTATCCCAGTGATGCAGCATGTTAAACATATGCAAATCAATAAATGTAATAAACCATATTAACAGAACCAAAGACAAATATCACATCATTATTTCAATAGAAGCAGAAAAATCATGTGATAAAGTCCAACACCCTTCATTATAAAAAAAAAAATTCTACAGAAAGTTGGAATCGATTTTTACCTCAATATATATAAAAGTCATCTATGACTAACCAACAGCTAAAATCACACTGAATGGTCGAAAACTGAAAGATTTTGCTCTAAAATTCTAAAATCAGGAATAAAAGAGGGAGTCTAATATCACTGCTATTCCCCTTGTGGGTATCTGCCCAGAAGAATTAAAGCACGATACCATAATGATATATGTGCACTCATGTTTATAGCAGCACAGTCTATAATACCTAAATCTCAGAAACAACCTAAAGACCCACCAGCCAAGCAATGTATAAAAAAGATATTTTTATTTATGGAATACTAGTCAGCCATAAAGAAATAAGCTGGAGACTTTTGTAAGTAAATGGATACAACTTGAGACCATACTCATGAGTGAAATAAATCAAACTCATATGTGTAAACATCATATTTGTTCACTAGTGTGAGAAACTAAACAAGTAAATAAGATCCAAAATGCACAATAGATATTGTGAACTGGGAAGAAAATGTTGAAAAGAAAAAATTTGATGGGGGAAAGGGAAGAAGGTAAAAAATTATATTTATACACAAGATAGTTAAGATAGTTATACAGCTAGTTTCTCTTATATCATTAAATGAAAGGTTTGGACAAGAATTCATGGACCTTTGGACAAGATGTCATGCCTGTATCGTGTACTCTGAATAACTACTATGAAGGCAATAATACACAATGTGTTAATTATTGTAACTCTCCTACTAACCTATTTTGAAACTGTCTTATTAGTATTTTTATTGTTTTTCTTTTGCTTTAAAATAAAAAAAGAGCATTAGCTGCATTGAAGGAAATTATAACAGGTTTGTTACCAGATGAACAAAAATAATAAGCACATTGCTCTTTACTTTCTTAGTAAGAATTAGTTTGTATATAAAAGACCATATTGTGAAATTCTATGCATAAAGATAAATTGAACAGTTTTTCTTTGAAAAATCAGGGGTACATTTCTAGTGTTTATTTTCCCCAGACAGTTAAACATCTGTCGTGGCCTTGTCATTTCATATCTGCTGTTCCAACCCCATTCCTCACCACCTGTCTTAGCCTTCCCTTCAATCTGTCCAAAGTGTTAAGACAAAATCATCTTTAAAATCTTCTCTTTAACTATCTAACTTCCATTGTCAAAATTAATTTTAATGTAATTATCATATCTTCAATCAATGTTTTTGGTGATAGTTTGGGGAAATTCTAGTTACATCTTAGGCTCAAATGAAATAATGGAGTCTAATAATACATAAATTTCAAAATTATAACAGATAATGTATTGTGCTACAGTATACATTTAACAGACAAAATCGTCAAACATTTTCAAATGTTTTTATCTCTGTCTTTTGATACAAGCTACTCTTGTTTTAAAATGAAATAAATTAAGACTCAATTTGAGCATCTTACACAAATTTCTTTGGGGTTGAAATGAATGCCACAACTTAGTTTTCCCAACTATCATTCAAATGTTTTCTCCACTAAGATGAAGTGGCAGGTTTACTATTCCCTGGCATTCATGCCATTAACCAGTATAACTGGGTACCTGTAGGATATCTGATACAGAATGAAATAAGTTGAATATATCATTTCCCTTAATCTTTTCAACAGTTGATCATTTTTTTAAATTAAGACACAAAGAGTATACAAGTCAGTGATAGTGTTCATTACATAAGTAATAAAAAGATAGGGTGATTTGTTTCTGAAATACAGCAGTTCCCTTTATTTGCTGGTGATATGTTCTGAGGCCTGCAGTGATAACAAATCCTATATGAGACACAGCCACTGCAGCAGTCCATCTGATAACCAAAACAGCTGATCAGTGACTCAGGTAGGCAGCCAACAGACCCTGTATCTGCCAGACGTGGATGATTGGGGTGGAGAAAAATAGGGAGATTTCACCATGTTAAACAGAATAGCAAGAAATTTAAACTTTATAAATTGTTTATTTCTAAGATTCCCCATGTAATGATTTTTATCAAAATTTACTGCAAATAACTGACCATGGAAATTTAAAAAGGCGCGAGGATTATTGTTAAGAAAAAGAATTGGAAAATAGGTTTCTGATCCACAAAATCTGAAGTTGCTTTCCATATTATCACTTTTTTCCAACTCATTATTTTCTTTCAGTAACACAGCAAGATTTTCAATAAAGCTTCAAGTCCATCTCCATCAGTTATGTTTGCTCAATAAACTTTAATTGAGAGGCTACTGTATTAAAAAACTACGGACAGGGCAATAGTGTTGTAGAAAGAAAAAGCCATTGACTCTGATCTTAAAGCACTCACAATCTGGAAGAGGATATAGACAAGCAAAGACAGTAAAAATATAGATTTTGTTCCTTTAGTAACAATCAGGGAAGGGTTAGGAATGAAGGCACTGGCTAAAAAAAATATAAAAAAAAAAAAAAAACATGTAAATAGTGGCCAATTGCTCCTTAACAACACTCTCAAACTTGACATTCTCAAATATTATTTTGATTTACCTTTGGAAATTTTATCAGAATCATGGGTAACCTAAGCCTCTCCAAGATATAATAAATTTTAATTCACGTAAGAATTTGTAGTTGAGACCAGGAGGCAAATCGCAAAGTTAAGTACATAATGAAATCTCTCCTGTAGCATTCAGGAGGTGTTGCTATTCAAGAGATGAACCGGTGTGTTTATTGAAGACTCTGAATATAGTACATAACAAGGCAACTTGCACATATGCCTGTTTGGTAAATGATCATGGATTTTGTAAAGAAGAAAGTGTTGTACACTTAGAAATAAACACTGAAATGTTAAAAGAAAAACTCTGAAAACAGAAATATTTGTTTAAAACACCTGCTGGCTATCATTTATTTGGGGTAGTAAAACTGTACAGCTTGGATATTTCCTACTATCATTAACTCATCACTAAATTACTTCCATTTTTGCAAGGTAACAGAATTAAACAGACTCTAAAAGTCCGACAGTTATCCTTACTGAACTCAATTGTCAATATATGTTTCTTAAGGGCCAAGTAACATTCAATAACTTCAGGGAGACTTTCTTTACAAAGGACAAAATTTTGGAAAGACTGGCCTCACTGATCACAAAAATTATGTCTTGTTCATTTTTCATTACTTAAGAACACATGAAATAAAGTCACATGAATTACAAGTTTAGAGTACTTATCAAATGTGGATTTAAGAAGTCTTATTTTTGATAAATTCAAACTCTTTTTGAAACATATGGATTCATTATTCTAATTCAAATTCATTTTTCAGGTTTAAGTGAATTGGCTTTGAAATATGAATTTAAAAAGGCAAAAAGACTAATCAAAGAGGATCCTAAGACTTCTCATCCCTGGAGAAACATACGGATGTTATTTAAAATCAATTCCAGAAAAAAGGTTGAAATTTCTTATTTAAATCAAA